ATGCACTCCACCCACCACACGCCCGCTGTGGTAAGTAGAGATGGTCAAAGGGTATCTGTCGCGGATACCCGTTATCCGCTGGCGGATACCCGCCAACGGGTGCGGATGGCCCCTTTTCCGCAAAAAGTTGGCGGGTATCCGGGTATCCCAAAGGATACCCGCGGCCGGAAGGGGAGATGGCTGGTGTGGTAGTCAAAAATGTGAAAATTCAAAGTTTTTTCCTTTTTTCTTTTCTTATACATATGTTTTCTTCATATTATCACCCAATCTCTCTCAGAAATCACACCATACGGCTCAAGAACTGGACTCTACGGACAAATTCACCCTTGGCCACCACGGAGGCCTCACTGGAACACACCTGGATCAACACTTACCCACAATGGACAACATATCACACGGAATTCACCCATCAATTACATGTCACCAATCACCAATTACAGCCCTCAAGCTACACAGACATGCCCTCAGTACAGTACAACCCCACAATTACATACACACTCATTTACATATAGCTATTTCCCTTTCACTTCTACATATTACATCATACCTGCAGCCTAAATTAGTGTATTTTCCTTGCATGACAGCCGCAGCTTACACCACCACATTTGCTTGTAAACACATCAGAACCTGACCAATCAGAATCACTCTTTCAGCTGTCTGGCTCACCACTTCAACTCTTGTACATGTCTGACCAATCACATTCACTCATTCAACTTATGTATGTAGCTAAAATACCTCATGTAATAGCCCAGGCCAGCCAAAATCACTCATTACTGGCTGCCCTGGAGCTAAATTCCCTCACTATTTTCTATATAAGGAGGCTCTCCTCCCAGTTGTTGTCTCCTCAGTGTATTATTCATCAGTCACAGTCAAGTAACACTCAAGCAATATTTGACCACCTTCACACAAACACTTTAAAGCGCCAACCAAACTCCAATAACAACTAAACTCATTTCTCAGCATCACACAAACTCATTCCTGAACTTACCCTATCACTTGATTAAAACTTGCCAAGCTGAGCTTGGTGGGTCTTGTTATCTGATAGTATAGAAGGGCAGAGCTTGCACCTCCACCATCCCCTTCTCCATTCAGCAAAAAGGGTCTTACAACCACTTTTTGAGTCTTACACCGGCTGGAAGGAGACCCTTCCAGCCGGCCCTTTAGAGGGCGGGTATCCGAGGATACCCGCTCGGATACCCGCCAGCGGGTGCGGATGCGGATGCGGATGCTCAGATGGCCGGAAAAAGCAGCCGGATATCCGGATGCCAATCGACCATCTCTAGTAGTAAGCCACTCCTTAAATTTCAAAATTATCAAAAGCACAAATCACAGAAGAATCACACAGTCAGGAAATCCCAGAAAGCTCCCAGACCCCCAAACAAACACTCATGGAAACACCCAGGCACAATTCACATGGATAATATAATTTCCCCCTCCCATCCCAACAGAAACTCCACAGCCTTGAAACTCATTCCCCTCCAAACGATTCCATTCTTCCTCCCCCTGGTGTCTCACACTAGTAACAATCCCCTTGTCCATGAAACTGTTATCTCCTCCTATTTTCTTCCATGGAATATTCCACCCCTTAGTTGTTTCATACTGGTAACCTTGGGAGCATTTGCCCACTGCTTGTTTCCCCTGTTTCTTTGGATAAATATTTTCCCTTGTTTCATACTCTTCATAGAATATTCCACTTATCTTCCAACCACAAGCTGGCCACTCCCCAGAATTTTGTATAT